CCCCCCCCCTTTCAAATAGGGATATTATGAAAACCGCACCCCCGTGAACGACAACAAAGTGGGAGTCCCTCAATGACGTCACACAAGATGGCTGTTACTATAAATATCGACCAATGGCGTACATCTGTTCCGCATGTGTTGTTAAGATTGTCTCCTCCTTCCTCAGACCGCCATGACCTGGCTATGATGCCGTCCGGTGTTCTGATTCGCTGGTTTGAGACAGTGGGCGTTACCCTGGCCGTGATGTCTCTTGTGGCCATGGTCTTTGTGTGGGTGGCTCGCTTCAAGAGGCCCATGATCAAGACCTTCTCGCACGTTTGTTACTTCACTCCAGTCATGATCGCTGGTAGGTAGCCTACATTGATTTTGTCCTGTCCAGTGGGTGGGTGGGTGGTTGGCGGGCGCTCTTGTGTGGTTTGCTCTTTCTTTCCTATAAAACAAACATCTATCTTCTCTGTCCCCCCTCTTTCTTTTTCGTGTTTGTTACTCTCTTGTCTTCTTCATTACATTTTATTTCAATTCATCTTAACTCATCTCATCTCATCTCCTACCGTCTCGTCTCATCCCGTCTCATCTCATGTCAGGTTTCTTCTGCGCCATCTCATCTCACCTTGTCTTTTCTTGTCTTGTCTTTTCTTGTCTTGTCTTATCTCATCTCTGCTCATCCAGTCTCATCTCATCTCATCCCGTCTCATCTCATCCCACCTCATCCCGTCTCATTTCATCTCTGCTCATCCCGTCTCATCTCATCTCATCCTGTCTCATTTCATCTCATCTCGTCTCATCTCATCTCATCTCGTCTCGTCTCATCTCATCCCACCTCATCCCGTCTCTTCTCATCTCACCTCATCCCGTCTCATCTCATCTCGTCTCACCTCAGGTTTCTTCTGCGTCATCGGGACTCTGATTCTCGCCAGCAAGGACAAAGCTGACGGCGCCGACTGGGCTCCTTTCTTCTCCGGTATCGGTGGCGCCCTCCTGTTCGTGGCGGGCTGCATGTCGTGCATCATCTTCCGCTACGACCCGTCCTACGGCACGCTGGAGAACCCTGTGTCGCCCAAGTACATCAGCAGTTAGATGTAGGACACTTTGGGAACGCTTGTTGAGTGAGGGGGGGGGTCAGGTGGTGAATTGGTCGCTTTTTTGAAGGACAAGCGGGGCTAACCCGATAACATGCGGATAACTGTAGAGCGACAGATGTACGCCATTGGCAGATATTTCTAGCAACAGCTATCTTGTTTGACGTGGGAACTCTTTGCTACTACTTTCCAAAGAGAAAATTTACTCGTTAATCCGATCCATACGCTTAACATAGCAGTCTGTCAAAATGATTTTTTAAAAGAAATACTGAAAGTTTTAAAGAGATCTTCGTACTACTAGAAGTATTCTAAAATGTGAAGAATACAACCCCGGGGGTACAAAATGATCCCAGGGCGTACGGATAGGGTTAACACTTCTGGCCCCTTCTTCATCTGCGAGGCTGGTGGAGAGACTGAGGATTTGTTGTACAAAAATCCCCGTTGTACAGAAAGACGACATGCTGTACTCTGAATCTCTGTAGATCTGTCCCCGTGGTTTTAGTTTCGTAAGAGTTTCACGGCACTTGCAACACAATAAGGTCAAATAAATGCCGAAGATTAGATGTGTTACAAGAGAGTAACAAAAACAAAAAAGAAGGAGGAGAGATCAGGACGATAGATGTTTGATAGGAAAGAAGGAACAAACCACACCAGAGCACCCGCCAACCACCCATCCGTGGTTTTATGCACCCCGCATACTTTAGCAACATTTGATCATTTTTGGCGTAATTTCTGATTATTTTCCTTTATCATTCTTTGTTAAAATCAACAAAATCGCACAATTTCACAATTTTGGACTCAGTTTTGCATAATTTCAGGATTTTTTTTTCATAAAACCACGGGGACTTGTACATTTCGCAGATTCTCAGAGCTTATGTTTATAAAATTGTCTGTTAATGTTGTGGGGTTTTCTGGTGCCTTTTTTATTTTTTACTGACGAGACTGACGAAAGACAAAACTGAGAACAAGACATCGTGAGCTTACTCGTATATCAATAAAATATTATACACTTACAATACATTTGTACTTACAATACATGGCTACTTAAAAAAAAATCCTATTCTGTTTATCGCCAATCTGCGAGTACGATTCAGTGTGCACATTTTCTTTTTTTTTGTTGGTTTCAACGAATACTCGATATATTTGGTCGCTTTTAAGGACAAGCGGGCTAACCCAGATTTCGGGGGTTTCCAGAAATCTTGACCTACCCCAAAAGTGGACTTTGCCCTACCTATAGGAGAAGTTTGGTTTCATTGGTGTGTATATTTGTTTGGTTATAGAGAACACTAGACTTGTCTTTTAAAGAATCTGAACAAGGGGTAAAGACTTTACCTTCCATTTTCTCAAAACAGTATTTTTCGGGATAGCCCCCTTGCGCTTAAAAGCGACCAATTATAATGTTCACTCTGCCTGAAGGATATCACGGGG